GTATGATGGCACACCCTCCGGAATCGCCTTCCGGATCACCTGACACATTTGAGAGATCATACCCTTAGTTTATCGCGGAAAGTGCCTTTAAGGTCATTACGTCAACATTTCAGGGACAAAACAGTGTTTGGACTACATTGCATTCAGAGCGGGAGGGCATGGCTGAATACTCCAACGGAGCGTGCGTTTTCGGAGAGATAATGCCGTTTGGGGTAATTGTAATCATGCTTCGTTCAGTAAATGACACGATGGCAGCTGCCTCGATCGTAAATGTACCAAGAGGAACGTTTTCTGCAAGATGTTCAAATGAAGTACGCAGCCACGCCCTCCCTACCGCGAGGATATGGAAGGTCATACCTCCCAAGTAGAGCAAACCTTTGCAAAGAGGACTCTGGACGAATCAGTAAGTACCTCCTCAGAAATGGATCCTGTATGAAACATGTTTTTCACACATCCACTTCTCTATGACGCTATTTCTGCTCCCTACAGTTTAGCCATGCTGACAGCTTTCTTCTGGTCGTTGCTGACTGATCCTCCGTTCACCCCCTCCAGCGGCCAAATGCGACCCCCTCATTGGGGAGTCCCAAAACTGTCTGCACGTTTCATAAGACAACTCTGCATATACGATAATAAGCAGAGAGCAAGCAATTAAACTCGAGCTGGATCGCAGCTTGGTGGCGCTCAGATCAGGAAGGTAACCATATCTCTTTGTACCAGGGTCCATCGTTGTTGGGGAATCCCAACAGGGGGGGGGGTCGTATTTGGCCGCCAGGAGAGGGGGTCGTATTTGGGCTGAGGAAAATTTATTTGATAGTTGATTTTTCTCGCTTCACGGACGTTGTAAAGGGGGAGGGAGGGGGGGTCGTACTTGCTCATTGTAGGGAGGGAGGTCGTACTTGCTCATTGTTGGCGGGAGGTCGTATTTACTTTTTGGCCTTCTAGGAGTGGTGGTTGGCTTTTCGTGATTTTCATGCGTAGTGTATACCCCCCCCCCCCTCCCGCTCGACGCTCGACTCGATGAGGAAGGACAGAGGGCCGGAGTGGGAGGGTATGGACTTGACCAAAATCCCCAACCAATGATGTGCCCCCTGCTTTGTACACTCGAGCCTCGTGGCTAGATCCGAGCCATCTCATATCTCAGCATTTGGTAAACAATGCAACCGGTTGCTTTTACGATCAGTCCCCTGGAAGGCTTCCGCGCACGTCAGGGAAATGGAATAACAATGGTGTTTGCCAAGTATCGATTTGGACCAGCAGGCAGAACAGCAGAAATCGAGCATCGCCCCGAATGATCACCATTGTGGCAACGACGCATCCACGACGCGAAATAACCTCGGTGACATAGGGTGACATCACTTTAAAACATCAATAAAGCATGGAAAAAGCGATGCAAAGCGGGCTAAAGACAGCGCCCGCAGTCGCCTTTCGCAGGTAGCAGGGCACAGAATCCCTGCGTCATGTGGTAATAGGAATCAACCAGAGCAAAAGCAAAAGAAACCGTCGAGAACGCCCCGAACCAGACCTCATGTATGGGATTGAAAATGGACGAGTTCGAATTCTCCCAATTTAGCGCAGCTTCGCTGTCAGCCGTTAACTAATTCATATCATATAACCTAACAATTATTACCGCTAATAAACCAAAAAAATGATCGACGTGGAACTAGCTTGCGTAGGTGGGGCTAGCTTATCGTTGCTGAGCTGTCGCGCTCTTGTCAAGTGCTTTCGAGCAGCGAAAAGGGGATATCCTCCATAACTATAAAGTCCGCCATCTCGTACGCTAAAAGGTTTCAAAACTTTGGCTAAGCGGACGCTGCCTTCTAACAAAACAGAGACCAGGAGTTCCAAAGACCAAGTCTGCCCACAAACCTGAGCTGCTATGGCAACATTGTTGAAAATGCAAAATCCACTCGGTTCGGATATACCTGCATGATGACCTGAAAAAGAAAAGCTCATACAAGATATATTTGGTGCGAACGAGAAAGGAGCAAACCTGGTGGTCGAACAACGGCGAAAGCGTTCAACTCCCCTATGCCACAGCTAAGAACTCGATCCACGCACTGAAAAAAAAGTTTGAGAAGGAGATTATAGAGATAACATGGATGGGACTGAGACTGCCATAGTTTTTCCCGTTACCAATCTCCACGAATCATTAGCTAGATATAAGCGGCAACCAAGCGCCACAATGGATTATTGCAAACCAGTCGGCTCGCCGGCCAACGCCGGCGCGCCTCCTGATACTGCCGGCTGCGCCGTTCGGGCGCGGCTTCACCGCACTATTTTCTTTTACATATTTCTAGACACCACAATATTTGGCCCCTAAATCTTCACCGGCGACCCTCTGCTGACCTTAGTCCTCTTTTTTCCGGTGTCTGGAGTGCTCTGAAACTATTTTACAGATTTTTCGTCTGACTCCGCCCACCTCGGAGCAGACCCGCCCACAATGTTTGTGCCCCACAATCCTCACCGACGACCCTCTGCTGACCTTAATCCACGTTTTTTTCCGGTCTTTGAAGTGCTCTGGGACAGTTTTAGAGAATTTTCGTCTGGCTCCGCCCACCTCGGGCTGGCCCCGCCCACCTCGGGCTGGCCCCGCCCACAATATGTATACCCCACATTTCTCAATCGGCGACCCCTTGCTGACCTGAATTCACTTTATTCCGGTCTTCGGAGTGCTCTGGAACCGTTTTACAGACCTTTTTGCCTGGCTCGCCTTTTGTTCTGTACTCCACTTTTTTCCGGTGTCTGAAGTACTCTTGAGCTATTTTACAGATTCTTCGTCTGACTCCGCCCACCTCGGAGCAGGCCCGCCCACAATGTTTTTGCCCCACAATCCTCACCGGCGACCCTCTGCTGACCTTAGTCCACTTTTTTCCGGTGTCTGGAGTGTTCTGGAACCGAGCTACAAACTTTTAAAATGAATACCCTGCGATTTAGGGCAAGCACTGTGGGCGGGGCTTCCCATAGGTCAAGTGTGCTTTTTATTTCTTGTCCCATGTCCTGCCCATCCCCACCTTGACCCGATCCGGACGGACAAACTGACAAACAAACAAACTTACAAACAAACAAACAAACAGACGAAGCGAATTATATATATGGGGTGATCATCATTAAAGGCAAGTTGCAATCCCAAGAATCACCTAGCAGGACATAATTCGGCGCCTCTGAGCAGGGGCTGTGTGGCGCTTTTCCAAGGAGAGCACCCCTATGGTGCCTTATCAAGCTGCAACATACCCTCCGGGACGCCATCCGCGCCCACCCGCCCACAAATATCAGACCGACTGATGCTCGCGTGGCATCATTTGCGAAGTTCAATATGAAGCGGCTGCGGTGCTGCATGGATATATGAGTGCATACATGCAGCCATACCTACCGTAGCGGTTATTGGCACGATGCCAACGGGAAACTCGTCCAAATTGCTTTCGGGTCGTACTAAACAAAGGTCTTTTTTTTGCAGGTCTTCGACCGTTCCACTTCACTTTTTCGACATTTTCCAATTATATAACACCCAAGCTACCATTTTAGACCGTATACCTACGGTACGGTTACTTATGCCTTTCTGAAGAATAAGTAAAAAAAATGGACAAAATTTAGTCAGAAGGATTGTCAAGCTGTATTTGGCCATAGTCCATTCTAGATTAAATGTCAGGAGGATTTCGGGGAGTTCCCTTTGAAGTGCAGCAGAGGTGTATGTAAACACTCACGCGCTTGCTAGAATAATCCGCGAGCAGCGCGCCCAACTACATAACAATGAATATCGACGCACTTTCGGTTATTCTTTGAACAACTGAACAGTATGTCTTCCTATTAGGTTTCCCAAATAACTAGAATGTAAAAACTGTGAACCATTCACTTAGAACTTTTACGACAATGCGACTACTGGTTCTCAGACGTAGATAATTTGGAGGTAAAGTTTGCTGTTCTGTTTTGAGATTATAGTTTCGGGAAATGAGCAAAACAAAAAAAGCTAAGGAGAGGGACTGTTACAGTCCTCATCATTGCGGACCGGTGGGGCGTGGCAGTGCGGCTGCGTTTGGTGCGGTTTGGCAAAATCGTTCTGCACCAGTTTTTGAAGCGGGCAAGTGCATTACTGTATTATATCCTTCGTATTACTCGTTTTCTACCACTTTTTGTCGCATACGCGTTGCAACAAAAAAGGCTGAGAACGGCTTCAACAGTGTGCGCACTCCTTCTGGCTGGCACGCCCCACCGGTCCGCAATGATGAGGACTGTACCTCGGTTTACTTTCTAGAGACCTCCCCTCTTAACTCAAAGATAATCCCCGCGCTCAACCAAATCATAGGCTTTCCTTGCTCAAATAATCCGGCCTGTAGTCTCGGAGCAACCACTTTTTCGTGGGTTAACCGTAGGAGGTGAAGACGCTGGGGCCCCTCGAGAATGGAAATTCTGACGCTCCTTCAGTTTCCTTCTCATGAAACTAGAAGGCTATTTTCTGTCACAGGTTCAATTTTTACGGCATGTTTTTCGCTTTTTTTTCGCTGTGAGATAGTACTGGTATTGAATGACGCGAAGAAAGGATTAGTGAGCCAGAGGCTGCAGGATATCTCTTTGCTGACCTGAAACGAGAGGGGCAGACAACTCGTACATTGATGCTGCCAGGGGCACTTACTCAACGACTTTTTTGGCTTTTTTTTTCTTCGTGCACACTCAATTAGCAAATATAGATTTGCAACAACACTACTATCCACGAGATAACATCGCGAACTTTGTCTTTGAGCAAGAATATTCGTTGCCTGATCCTCAATCGGGTGGAATTCGGTTTAGTGAGGGCACCAGATGGTGCTCAGCAAAACTTGTATATCCCACCTTGTTGTATCCTAAGACCATTTTGATTCGCTTGCACCATTTCGCAGCTTCACGGGAGCGTACAACAAGCTGAGACCTCTTCAGCAGCGGGTTGTAATAAAAGGAATCATCGAAATTGCAAAACACCCTATTCACTTCCCTCCTATACCAGCGCCGGTGATCGTTTTTAGCACCTTTCTGCATTGAAAGCTATCCGAATTGAAGATAATTCAAAAATGGCATGAAAATCAATCTCGCAACTTTTCGTGGCTTAGCAGTTCTTGACAAGTGCAATAAAAGGGCCTGCTGGATTCACAGGATTTTATAAGACATCCCGGTATTCTGCACAAACGCCCAAGAACTTAACAACTCTGTATCACCCGTTTAAAGCCTCATTAAACACTGACGACATAGGGTTACACTTTGCTAGGCATGCAAGTCGACATGATCCGATCAAATGTCATCCCAACGATAATCTTTCCCCGTAATTTAATGAATTAAGACATACTTATGCTAAAAGCACCTAATTAACATGTATTGTGTGCAAAACTATCGACATTTCGGATGAGAAAAGATTGAAATAATGACGCAAGAACGGTGCGCTGCAAATTTTGCATCAATTTCCCTGCCTTCCCAAGAAATTCAAGATGGAAAGGTTGGGGGTCAAAGCAATGTACCGGGCCATTTTGTATGATCCTGCTAATGTACCGAGCTCTCCTGTGGTCCTGTCAATCGAGTAAACACCCCGAGACAGGTGAACCCCATTCCGTGGAATGCGAAAACGATGTTTCTTTTGCGCTGAGGTTTACTGTACCAACCTCGAGCTTCTTTCCCCTCTTGGACTTGAGCAGAAATCCTGACGTACTGGGGGATGGGGGACCACGCGGCACGCTGTTCTTCTGCTCCTACTCGACAAGATGGTATCCTACGTGTTTGGTTGACTCAAGTGAGTGTTCTTTTATAGCAACTTCGTAATTTCCGCGGTAGAACACGAATTTAACACCGTCATAGGGTGGCAATCTAGTACGGTTCGGAACTATGGAAAGTGCGATGCAACTGTAAATCAGTGGATAAGGATTTTCACTTATGGCGGGGAGGAGGAGAGTGAACTGTAATCCTGCGTGCAAAGTGATACTTTTAACTAGCTCACTTGCTCCGCAGCTGAAGCCACCATCTGTTACTTTGATAGCGCCCTGAAAGAAGAGACAGGCAGAAGGTTAGCAGTAAAAACCATTTCGACAAATTGTCGAGGAGGTCCAAGTATTCTTTTTTTTCTACTCAAGACTGATCAATTTTCCGCTTAAAATATGCTAGAAATCCTTTATGGGTTGTTTCAAACTATTTCGGCGAACAGGGGAGCAGAAGAGCCGCCCGCCGCTGGTGCCACCCTCTTCCTCCCCCCCCCTCCACATACGATAGCGCCAAATCTCATCTCCCTCCCTTAGCTCACAGTCTTCCCCGAGTATCTTCCAGCGCCGCAAAGAAAGCAAAGGACTCTAGAAGTGGCTCGTAGCAATGCGCAGCTTCAAAGCACTACAGTTCGGCGCCAAAATAGCACGACACCTACTTACAGGGCTAAAAAAATGGCCCGATACGTTGGAGTAGCGCGGAAATGCGTTTAGGCGTGTTGATAAGCGCCACGATAGTGCATAGCATCGCGAAACGTGGCGTTCTGACCGGAATGATTCATCCATCCGTCGAAGCGCACTATGTTTGAAATCGTTTGTCGTTGGGGGCGGGCTCTCCGTGCCACAAATCTCGCCGTCTTTGCCGTCGCTACGCACCTGCGCATACCACGTCTGGAACGCCATCTATTCCATCTCATGCCAGGTAGCTTTCAGGCCTGGGAATGTCCGACCAGAATGGATCGTACAGCCATGCACATCTCGAAATGCCTCCATACTCAAACATCCTTAACCCTTCATTTCTCGTCCCACTCTTCGCCTATTTCATGGGCTTTCATTTCGCTAGTCAAATTGTGAAGACCTTCATGTGGCGAGACTTTACAGGTTTCAAGTGGGTTCATCGCTTTTTTTTCACTCCGCATTGACCAAAATGACGTCAAAATTGGCTCAATTACTCGATTTCACTATGGTGACACGCTACGAGAATGCTTTTTCTGGCAACTTACTCAGATCGCACTTGTTCAGAGCATATCGGCTGCAAAATCTTTCCATATGTCTTCTTCATTCAATGATTTCTGGCATATGGACAACTGTATTCTTTTTCACTCACACCAAAGAGATGTTAGGAGATCTTACCCATTGGTATGAACCATGGGCCTCTCAGCTGCCACTTATTTCTATAGGTGAAGTTCGGTTTTCGCTTCCAAAGATGCTGGATCCCGAGTTAATAGAATTTTGGATGAATGGAAATGGAACTTTGCAGCTTATTTCATGCACGACGCGTTGGATATGCTGAACCACGAATGGTCGCGGTGGACAATGGAATTGCTGATTCATCACGTAGCTACCTGCTTTGCTATGACTCCTCCAATTCTGGCTCGGAAATTCCTTTTAGCCAACTATTGGGCTTTACTTATGGAAGGCAATAGGTTGGTGCTTTTCGCGAAGCTGCGTTCAGACCATTGGACTCTGCACTTGAGAAGAACATGTGGAGAAGATTAGTCGCATATCGATTGGGTTAGTATGAGGTTGTTCCAAAGAAACGAGGGAATTGTAGAACCAGCGAAGTTCACCCAGGGATCGGCACTGACAGGCCAAAATCGAGGGCACGTCTTACGTTGGTCCCCAGCGATTGAATGGGTTGTATTTGGAGCTGTAGAGAATAGATTTGTATTCTTCTTTGAGAAAATGTTTTCGTTTATTGACTCTGGTTGTTGACTTTTCTCGGTTTTTCCTGTTTCTCGTACGCATACACGTACTCCCCACCACCACCCCACCCCGCTCGGCGGCTGTTTCAGGGTAGAAACTGAAGGATTTTATTTGAAAATTCTGAAAAAAGCAAGAAGTTTTGAGAATCCATGAGAAAAGTTGGGTTGGATAGGTACAGGGGTCGACTGGAGGAAATTTCAAAGTGGGCTCGTATTTTACGAAATTTTCCCCCCAGCTGCAGGACGTGTTCTGTCGTAGTAAGTCATGCAGCTCCTCACCTAGGTAGCATCACTTGCCAGATCACTAAACGTTTGGATTATCTTCATTAGCTGACAGCCTACACAAAGCCAAAGGCACAAAGGTTAATTCCTGTACAGTCTTGTTTGCTGGGGCGTTTCAGGGGACCGGAGTTTGGCACGGAGCCGGCCTGCTCATCTATTGTGGAAGCTAGCTGGTGACCACAACTGGAGGTGAAAAGACCGCACCCAATCCAACCCTTCAAAGAACCAGTTTAAGGATTTGGACGAGTAGTTCGACGAGAAAAAATGTCGTGCTAAACGAAATACACCTGGAATTTCCAATGGACTTCATTCAGTTCACAGCAATACGGGCACCATTCAAATATCCCCTTCTTTACGCGATTCACTGACCCCCCCCCCTCCATCCCTCCTTCCCCTCCAGTTCGACGGAATGCCTGAACGCAGCCTCCGCAAAATTTTTGGTAACTTTTTTAAATCAATACATTCCAAGATAACACTGTTTCAGTATCTTTCTACATGCGAGAACAATTATGCAAATATCCGGACAGTCAGTGCTCCAACCAAATCTCTTCAAGACAATAGTTTACAGCAACGTCGTTTCGTAAGTCGTTATAGAGTAACGCCTTAAATACGGGGTAAAGGTAGTTCGGGAGTGCCACATATTGGAAGAACTATGCTACTTCATGTCGTGTCTCTTTTTTCAAGCCTTCTGAAGTGCTAGTGTAGGCAAATATGATAGGCTGCACTTATACTTTGCAGCAGCGTCCACCAGCTTCGGCAGCTTTTCGAGCGAATGCCAGCGCCAGCTACTAAGAAAATATAGATGTCGACCTTGCGTCCAGCACTGTCCACCAGCGTCTCGAGGGACTATGGAAGTACAGGTACTGATCGGCGAACGCCAGCGCGCGCCAGCTTACAACGGCGTTTTCGCAAGCATTCTTTTAACTTGGGCAAAATTGCCCGGGAAAACGCTGCTATACGCTGGTGGACACTGGCGCTCGTAGACCAATACTTATCCTTCCCTAGTCCCTCAAGACGCTGGCGTACGCTGGTGGACGCTAGTGATATCCATACCTTCCTGGCCGCTGGCGGTGCCGTTCGCTCAAAACGCTGCCGTGCGCTGGTGGTCGCTACCGCAAACTATGAACGCAGCCGTTCAGTGCGAGATCGCAGACAAGTAAACGACGTGATCCCATTACATTTGCCCTCAACCACGACTGCACTCAGGGACTGCACAGCAGAACATTTTTTGGGTCTTAACACCCTACTCTTTCGATATTGATGAATCATAAAGCAAAAAACCTCAACGATTCTGGACCTCAACGAAGTAGAACGAGGAATACATGACCGCAGAATAACGAAAGCTGAACCGAGATGAGAAAAGAGATGAAACGACCCATGTTTTGATTTTGAACGCTTTTCTTATTTCAATAGTAAATTTCTTCTTTTGACCCACTCTCTAAGCATGCTCAATTCAAAGCCTGGCTTACTTCTGACTTGTTTTTCTTTGAGATGCATCAAACTAATACCGCTCTTCCCGCGAAGAAATCCCTGAATGAGTATTACGACTGATGGCTGTACCTTAATGGAAGAACCCATCTCCCTCACTCGGACAGTATTGACTGAAATTCTTGTGAGATTTAGTCCCATTTCTGATGGATTGTTTGTTGCCGATAAAATGTACTACCCGAAAGAAACTTCAAAATTAATCCATTTTTCTCCAGGCCGCGTCGTAAGGCAAGCGCTCATAGCCATTATGAATGGCTGAGCAGCAGTTTTTGTGCAGCTACCCAGCACCAGGAATGCTATTAGAATTACATCATCTCACTAGCAGCCAAGAATCTTTTTTTTACGAGCGACATTCGAGGAACTTATGTGACGGCAGGGCACGCCATCGCGTTGTGATCATTTCCTTTGCGACTTCCGTCCTCAAATACGACCCCTCCCCCTCCCCGTGCTACCTACCACTTTCTTAGATTCCCCCACCTACACATTTTCCATTTTTTCCGAAAAATTTCCAGTTTTCAGCCAAGAATTTTCCGTCCAGCAGGAAGGGGAGGGGGTATATACCAAATGTGAAACAGGAAAATTTCTCCGATACCGATATTCCCTAACCTCCTGCCCGTTTTTCCGAAATTTCCCGAAAAAATTCTGGTTTTTCCTTTTGCTGTCGAGCGGGGGGGAAGTCGTACGGATTCTATCATTCAATTAAAAAAAAAAAAAAAAAAAAAAAAAAAAAACAACTGTCGGAAATAGTAGTTGTATAGATTTTTGGCAGTTCCTCTCCTACACGACCAAATACGACCCCCCCCCTTTATAGCGTCCGTGAAACAAGAGAAATCAACTATCAAAAAAATTTTTCTCAGACCAAATACGACCCCCTTCCCTCGCGGTCAAATACGATCCCCCCGTCGTGATCATCACAACGATGGCGTGCCCTGTATGAGGGAAGGAAATCTTTGGATAAACGTATCCTGCGGAACGCGATTGAATGCACTATCCATGGTAGCGCTTTTAAGGACTGGGACTCCACCTGTCTAATGATTTGTAAGAAATAACATCTAGTACATATATCTTACTATGAAAACTGATTAGTTGTAATCAATACATTGCCAGGGTGCAATAAAAGCGGGGCGAATCGTGAAATTTGAATAAAATAATCACATTTCAGATTTGTCGTGTTTCGTATTGTGGCGCAGGCACTATTTGTTCGCTGGGCCATTACACATGTTCATCGAATACATTTCTTCTACGCGTGCATCGCTATTGGTGGACCAATCGTTTTCGGCATCATTAATGGCATGCTCTTCTTCAGAGTGCTAGTATCGGATGGATTTTTGAGTCAACGATGGCGGGCGAACGCTGCTATAAATCGGTGGGATATTTGACTTTCTCTCTCAAGATTATTGCTATTTCTCAGCATCATTAATAGCTAATAGCGGAAGCATCAGATTGTGATTCGAAAATAATCTCAAGAATGGAGAATAGTGGGCAAAAGGCTTAAGGGCGGTCAGGACTCGCGCATCGACTTAGCGCTTACCGGCTCAGGGTACTGATCTTTACGGTATCGGAGCTGTCTTCAATTTCCTCACCTCTAAAACACGCCCCGGACTTGGGAGTAAGTTGTGCGGCTCAAACAGTAACGACACGGAGGTGGGTGAAACAAGAAGGGAGAAAAAAAGCAGAAAAGGCCGTCTGAAATGTCCCGTGTAGAACCACCTGTTGAACCGCGTTTGTACGTGCATGCGGCAAAGAAAGTTCCTGCTCGGAAGAAATCTCACTGATTAGAGCCAGCTCTTTCTCCTTATCACCTCACTCTTGTCATTCAATCTGGAGAGAGTTATCACCGAAACTACCGTATTGTGGGGTAACAGCGAAAAATGAAAGTTGGCCATACTTTGAGCTGCAAAATTACTACATCGTCCATGCTTGCATGCAGGACCACTATGTCCAAAGAAGGCGCCCGAAAATCGTGTAAACCCGGGACGTGGCTTTGATGGGCTTCGGCATGAAGCTGTGCGCATAAAAGCCAGTCACGGCAGAGCCCACGATTGCCATTTTTGATAGTGGGGTCCGAACTGTTTGTGGTGCTGAGTAACTAAACACAAAAAAACGCTACAAATCAAACATTTGCGGTCTTGAGCATTACTTGAGCGCTTGGAGAGTCATCAGTGTTCACTAACGATCGACGCCCCATCGCTCGATAAAAGTGAGTAGGATGAAGATTCTGCTGTCAATCAGTCCCTTCATAGGAAGCGGTACGCATTCTACCTACATTCAAAACCGAGGTGGTTTGGTTTGAATGCAATATAATCGATAAAACGACTAATGGATAAAAGTGGATGTACAATGTTTCATCCTCCTAAACGAGTCCGGAACCAACTAATCGGCACGGGGGTAGAAGGCTCAGTTATCCCGAGCGGAGTCATCCGGGATTTGCCCCTCCACACGCATCACAGGTGGACCACTTGCCATTACATCATCTCTGCCTTACTCCACCGCTATCAAGTTATGGTGAAACGAAAGCATAAAGGTGGAGAGCAACAACAGGGGCAGAGCACACCCGTCCTGGTGGCAGGGCACTGCATCGCTGCGATGATCGCAACGGGGATCGTATTTGGCCGCGAAGGGGTCGTATTTGGTCGCTGTTGGGAGAGGGACTGCCAAAGATCTATACAACTACTATTTCCGATAGTTGAAAATGATAGTTAATCTGACGACCTCCCCCCCCCCCCCCCGCTCGACAGCAAAATTTTGGGGAAAAACCAGAAATTTTTCGGGAAATTTCGGAAAAACTGGTAGGAGGTTAGGGGAAAATCTGAGAAATTTTCCTGTTTCACATTGGGTATATACCACCCTCCTCCTCCTCCGCTTGACGGAAAAACCTTGGTTGAAAAAAACCGGAAATTTTTCGGGAAAATGTAGAAAGTTGGGAAATCTAGGAAAGTGGTAGGTAGCATGGGGAGGAGGTCGTAGTTGAGGATGGAATTAGGGGGGGGTCGTATTTTTCGGGGAATAATCACAAGGCAATGG